GTGGCGAATTAGCCTAAGTTTTTGCTAAGGTCAAAGCAAAGCACTGCGAAATTTGGCGTTCGAATTCAAAAATTTTATCATGTATAATGTATTGAACTGTAATCTCTGGGTTTTAGTCTTTCCTGTCCCAAAGAGACGAAATCTGTACAAATTTAGAACTGGCTTCAGGACAAAAATATTCCGGATTGGAAGCCTCCGGGAAGAAAACCGTATTCTTCTGATTTGCTCAGCTTGAGTTACCTAGCAGTCCCGTACACCTGTGGGCATTACCATAATATGCTTTATTCTTTAAGCTAAAGCCCATAAACACACCTCTGAACCGGGTGTGTTTATGGGCTTTAGCTTAAAGAATAAAGCTTTTTCATAAAGCTTTTTCATTTAGCTTAAAGAATAAAGCTTTCTTGTGGCTTGACACTCGGTCCGTACTGTATCAAATGTCAAAGATTAATGATGCTTTTTAGTGGCTTTGGTACTTGGTCTTATAGTACCAAGCGCCATAGTCGCCCAGAGCCTCCCGTCCTTTACTGTAAGATAATGCCACGGAATTCCTTCGGTTTTCTCAGCAAATCTCTGTTCACAGCAAAATTTGGATTAATATCGGTAGTAATATTCAGGAGAAAAGCCGCATCAGTGTGAGGTATGCCAGAAACGCTTCAGTAGTACGTCCAATCTCAAAACACATCTGCGCCTTCATAACGGCCAGAAGCCGTACCCGTGCGATTTGTGCAGCGCAAAATTCACGCAGTTTGTCCATCTGAAGCTCCACAAACGTCTGCATACCAATGAACGACCATACACTTGCTCGAGCTGCGGTTTGTTGCATGCTTATTAGTCACTAATTTACTAAGCTTCAGCTCTGCAGCTGACTGCTTTACCAGTTTGTAACTGACCAGTGCTGCATCATCTACTGGTCAGTCTGCTGCCAGTACTGATGTTCGTTTGGCCATTAATGTTGTTTTAATAATTATGCTTATACTGCAAATTTGCGTAAATTCATGGTTTATGACTGCTATATTTTTCGGATGCTAGCTCTCTTAATTACATGTTCAATTCCATTTTTTTGTTGAGGATAGGTTTTTTTCCGGGAAGTTTATGGAGAAATGAGAATTTGTGTTCCCATATCAAAATTACTCCATCAGCTGTTGTAGAAATTCCATTTCTTAAAGATGCTACTAGGGTGTTTCAGTGTCATACACAGTTCTGTTAAATTGTCAAATGATTTCTGTTATTTTCAATTTAGCCAAATAAGTTGTTTTTCTGGCTGTTTGTCTCTCACGAATTTTTTGAAATGGACGCTAGCCATAATCGAGCTGCCAACCGTGACATTTACCGCTTCGGTTGCTCGAGTAATAGAGACAAAGCACAAACTGTGCTCATCTTTTTCTCATGAAGCTTACGATAAATCACCGGTTATGGTGACAAATTTCAACCAAATTACAAAAATTTTTCAACCTATGGAAGTGTTTACTCTCAAAATGCTTCAGTGAAGGGCATGCATTCAAGCTTCTAAGAACTGGACCATCATAATAAGCATCTCATAAATTTCTCAGAAGCT